TTGGGCACACACGCTCATGCACCCTGTGTGATTTTTCAAGCTGCTGTGTCTGGGACTTGAATCATGGTCGGCCCTGTGGGAATCTAACACTTTACCCACCACACCACCTGCTTATTGATAAAATAGTATTTTACTGTTTTTCAGCAATTGTTTATAGCATTGCATTTTTAACTTTGGAATCTACATATTTAATGCTTATATAGAAATATAATTGTTTTTGTATGTTTATCTTGTATTCTATAACTTTGTTAATATCAGTTATTAGCTCTAGAAAGTTTTTAAAATTTTTTTTGTTTTTAATTAATTTACATTTATTCACTGAGCATTGTCACAGCATATAAAATGTGATTTCCCATCCAGAATATACTGCATACTGGCTTAATCATACATGTTACCATCAATAATTTTCCCTTTCTAGTTTCTCGTATATAAATATATACATATATATGTAATATTTTCCCCCTATTTCTCACCCTCTGCCATTTCCCGCTCTCCTTCCACACTATGTCTGTTTTCCAGTTGTTTTCCATTCCTTGTCTCCCCCACATTTTGTTGATTCACAAAATTTCTTAAATATGTATACATATACATATCTGTGAATACATGTCTAACTTTAGGCAGGAAATTCTGAGTAGAATGAATATAATATAAGGTAGCAACCTAGCTGGCGCTATATAGCTTACTACAATCATTAATTATGTATTTTTTACTATATTTTTTAATTTCAAGAAAAGTGGTTTTTGCTTTAATGGATCAAAGAAGGAACTATGCTTAAAACTTAAAGCCAGGAAATAGGTTGGGATTCAGTTCAAATAGTAGTTGCATGAACCTGTCAGCAGCTCAAGACAGAACAAAAATCCATAAAACAGGAAAACAAAGCCTTAGAAGAAAATCAGCAATGTTTTAGTCAAAAGTCATAAAATGCTATTTCACCAGTTCTGTCTCATGTACTTTATCTTCTATTGTGGTTTGATCTTCCCAATTCAATTCTGGGATATAATATTCAACTCCAGACTTGTCCTTACGATTAAGTTGTCCATTTTCTTAGTTTTTGAGCTCTTATTTCTGTGTGTCTGTATTTAATTTTTCTGGTATAGCATTCCCTTGAGAACTTATTGGGGATCCAGTCTTTGTGGTAGATTTTTCTAGGCCAGTGATTCTGTCTTCTACATCTGAGATTCAGTTTTCTGTATGATCTAGTCTGGTTTTAATACTTTCAAGGGAGGTTTTGACTTCCTGTATTATAGCCTTCATCTCTAACAGGCCCGTTTGATTCTTTTTTATAGTGTGAATTTCTTCTTTTAGATCTTGTAAGAATTTCCTC